TGCAAAATATTTATTTATTTTACTTTAACACACAAACTTTGGTATTTTGTCATAAGCTATTGTATACTACTACAAAAAGTCTGAAAGGTTTTATGTTTGTTTTATTGAAATGAGTTTGTTGAAGACAAACGTGTCTTGTGAAGGTCCTATGTTGTGGCACAGTGTATTGCGAGCACAATAATACACAGCTGTGTCTTCAGTGTTGAAGTTTTTTCCAGTTAAAATAACTGCATTGCTGGAGGATTCAGCTGAGAAACTGATCTTATTTTTCAGTGAATCTTTGACACCATTGCTACTGGAACTATAGAACCAGCCAATCCACTCCATTGGTTTTCCACTTGAATGTCTGATCCAGTTTGTGTAGCCACCGCCTGAGGCTGTATATCCAGTGATCTTACAGGCGATGGTGAACGTGTCCCCTGGTTTTACTACCATGACAGGAGGCTGATTCAGCTCAATACAGAAAAGACCTACAATCATTAAAGCATTATATTAGTAATACAAATTGAGTATTTTTCAAATTGACTCCATTTTCTATATTTATTTTTTGTGTTGAGCTGAAGATACTCACAGTGTGCAGTTGCCACAACCAGCAGTATTGAAAAGCACATGATTCTGGTTGTATTTCACTGTGGCTCTGTGAAACACTAAGAGCCTTTATTATGTCTGTGTGCTCCTGTTTACACGAGAGAAGGACGGAGATTTGCATTGACGTAAATTGTATCTGTCGATAGTTTGTGTAATATTTATAAACAATGATGCAAATTTATTTGCCTGACATCGTATTCTTGATGTATAAAATAAAGTCTCAAAGAGAAGCAAGATACACGTGTTTATTCATATTTATGGTGTAAATATCTTACTACTACTGACACATTTTATCAACATTGCAGTCTATTTTGCTTATTATAAATTATTAATTAAAATGATCAAATATATTCTGTTTGTTTCTTTTTGACACTGGTTTTATTAAAAATGGTAACTCTAACAGTTTGACTCCTTTGTTTTCCCCTTTTTCTTGTATTTTGGTTTAGTCCTTTTCTGTTTTCCCGCCACTCATCTGTTACCATGTCTACCATTATCAGTTCATCTTCATCACCTGTGTCTTGTTAATCACCTTCATCTGTGTCACCTGGTTTGGTTCATCAGTGTCTGTATTTAGTTCGTTCAGTTCTGTTTGTCTTCGTTGGTAGTTATAGTTTCATGGATGTGTTTAATGTGTGTGATCCAGTCCGTCATCCTGCCTGTCTGTACCTGTGAGTGACTTTGGAGTAAACTGTTTGCATTTGAGCTTTCGCCTCTGTGTCCTCCTTCACTCGCACTACAATCCGTGACAGTAACAAGGATGATAAATCTAATTATAGAAATTCCATCTGTCATTATTCAGCACATGAACAATTTACAGATCTCAACGCAGCACTACAGAAATAAAATGTTGGTGTACTTTTAACCTTTTTCCTTATTAAATAAATGGGCAAACATATCCTGTGGCACCTATTGCATTTATCAAAGCTGTTAATTAACTGATATTTTACAAATAAATTATTACATATACAGTACTTTTTATAAACACACTGTAACAGATCGGTGGCTGTAATGAGCGCAGAACGCTGGAGAATCCAAGCAGTAATTAAAAAAAATAAACCAGAATCCTGTAGGAAAACACAGGATCAACAAGAATGCACAACCATGTGAATCAAAAACGTTTACAATACTGAACTAAAGAAAACGACTAAATACGCTGTAGGGCTATGCCAGGCCAGTAGTTTCACTATGCGTGTCTAAAGACTGAACACGTAATACGCATACGCATGTTTTTTGTTCTAAATCTAAATTTCACTTGCTCCAAAGTCCTCTTCTGGCCAGATCCCATTGCATTCACATTCTGGGTGATTTCAACCCAAATGTCTTTCTTCCTTTTGTTAGTCACCATTCCACCCGCAACAGAGCTTCCTACAATTGAGGCATAATGGCACTTAACACCCTCCAGCACTGCATGGGTTTCTGCAACAGTGAAATTAGGTCCTTTTGATTCATGGTTCCACCTCATCTGTCTTCTTCTTCTTGTTGTTATTTTACGGCGGTTGGCATCCAACTTATTGGTGCATTTCCGCCACCTTCTTCCACCTCATCTGTTGTAGTGAACATAGTATTTAGGCCTTAGGCATGATTGGTTTAATTGAATACAAGCCACAGCACGTCAGCCAATGTGTGTGTGGGTATTTGACAGCCATCTCATATTCAACCTTTCTCAGAGGACTTAGAGAGAGGCACTGACATGGCAGGTATTGTCCATCACTACCATCGTTTTGGTGGAAGAGGATACCGTCAAAGGGTGTATGTTGAGCGTGCACAACCACTGGAGCAATTACACCACTGAAGAACTGTATGCTCGCTTTCGATTTGGGAATGCTGATATTAACCCTTTATAGGGCACTCATTGAAATACTTGGAAATTCTAAATTTCAACCATAGAGTGTTATTGGAGGATATTATAAGACTTCTAAACATTTGTGAGTTTTTTAAAAAATATATTTTTTTAGGTTGGAAATCAAGGGCAATGAAGTTACCATATATGGTTCCTCGCCAGTCTAGGGTATTTTTTTTTCCCTTAAAAAGTGTATATATAAAAATATAATAAAAACACATAAACTTGTTAAAAACATACAAATATTTATTTAGTAACATTTTAAATTATTATTAGGAACATTTTTAATTAAATTACACCTCTTGGCAGAGGGGCCTATATCACTCTGGCCTGGAGTGTCTAGGTTGTGGGTGGGTGGGAGGAAGTCAGGGTCTGCCACATCATCATCTTCCTCCTCAGAGCCTTTATCATCACTAATGCTGGGGTTGGCTGGCACAACTGTCTCCCTCTTGCCATAAAAGATTTGCGTAGATAGCTGCAAAGAACAGAGAGTACATTTTTGAGTCAATATCAAGCCCAGTTTGAGTTATTTGTTGAGTAACAGTGAAGTGCAGATCTACTGAAATATAAATAATAAGAAAAATAAGTGAGTAACATTGGACTGGTCTGTCATAATATATGTAAATATATAATAAGAAGTGCAAAATATCATTATAAGTATTAAAAACTGTTATAAAGGTCATAAAACTGACCAAAACCACACATATTTCAATATCTAATATGGCTTGAAAATGTCTAGAAATGTGTTACGTTTCCCACTGGATCACTTTATAATGTTATTCAAACCTGTGATAACATCCAATGCACTAGTAAATACTATTGTCCTACATTATAATCATAGACTGTGGTTATTATGCATTATTTGTAGAAAAAATACCCTAGTACGGCTTTTCTATACGCATAGGGCGTATGTCCAAATATGGTCTTCCTATCACTTGCGCTAATCTTACGTGAATAGGGCGTATGATCAAATATGGTCTCACCATTTTTCATGCCACAAATGTCACTACTTTCAAGAAATCTATGCAAACAACACCTATCTCAACATGTTGCACAACTATTCAACCATAGAATGAGTTTCATCAACTTACCATTTTTTGTTTTGAAGTTATTAGCGCTGATGTGGGAGTAGGTATTAGCGCATAACCTCACTTTCCAATATCCGGAACGACACTGAAGTTTGAAATGCTCCGCGCAACTTCTGATTGGTCAGATGCCATGGTGTGACTATCAGTGACGTAGCCTGATCTTCGCTGATTGGCTAGGAGAAATATATGCACTCATACGATAACGCAAACAGGCAGGGGAGAGTCAGTTTGAATGCGCGATTAAGTTACCAAATATGGCTCCTCGCCCGATAAAAGTACATTGCAGACCTTGTCAGGCCAAAACTTCAACGGAGAACCCGAAGGAGTCACAGTCTGTCTGTGGAAGAACAGGTCCTCATTGGTATGTGCTTCTATGCATCTGGGACTTTCTACCAAGTTGCTGGTGACAATATAGGAGTGGACAAATCAACTGTGAGTGATTTAGTGAAACTGTGTCAATTGCATTGGCCAGCCTGGTCAATCAGTTTGTTTCACTTCCAAAGGATGTCCAGATTGCCCAGACCAAGCACAAGTTTTTTTCTTTTGGGGAACATGCCCAATACTATTGGGGTTATTGACTGCACTTATGTGCATTTCCAAGCACCTCATGAGAGCGATTGGGAGTACATCAACCGAAAGGGGAGTTGCAGCATCAACATCCAAACTTGTGGGCGATGATGACCTCATCATCACAAACTGTGTCGTGAAGTGGCCTGGGTCTGTTCATGATGCACGTATCCTGAGAGAGAGTGTTTTATACAGAGAGCTCCAAACCAACCGACCGGATGGCATAATATTAGGAGACAGTGCCTATCCACTCCTACCATGGCTGATGACTCCTTTTCTTGCAGCAACCACACCTGCGCAGGCACGCCTTAAACACTGCTCATTGCAAAACAAGATGTGCAATTGAGCGTTTAAATGGAGTTCTGAAGAGACGCTTTGCATGCCTTAACTACTTGCCACTGGAACCACAGGGAGCATGCAACATTATCGTCCTGCACAACATCGCTACCAGGCGCAATGTCCCTCTCTATGATGATGTTTATGATGCACCTGAGCCTGTTGAAGAACCAGATAAACCTCTGGCACTCTGTCAGAATGAGGGACTGACTGGAAGTATAGTAAGGGATGCAATTGTTAGAAATTATTTTTGACAGGCTCATCTCTGATGATTGTTTCTTTGAAATTAATATATACAAAATTGTATATATTATTTTTGTTTGTTATTGAAATTTATTAGTTATTGAGATTATTTCATGGGGACAAGATCATTTTTATTTTTACTTTACTATGAATAGCTTAATTGGTAGCCTATGTATACTTTATCTACTTTATCACTGTTACAATGGTTACACAAGTCAAGTGCAAAATATAAATAAAAGTATATACACTAAATGATACAAATATATTATTTGACCAATTTTAAAGTTTTACTACAGTACATTTTCTTCCTGGAATCCACCTTGAAATCCTACCCCCTGTTGGGATCAGGATAATCCTGGGTTTTTTTTTTATCAAAGTTATCCAAATCCTACTGACAAGTTTTGAACAACACAAACTGAAGGTTTGATCCAGATTAAAACTAGGATTGGATTCAGTCAGTGATCTAATCTGATTTCAGATTCCTTCTTTCCCTTTTGAACAACCCATTTTCAAGATTTGATCCAATCCGATAACCAAAATCCGATCAGCTTACCTTTGAACAACTGACCCGAGATGATAACTGTATTGTTTTCAAAAACTTTCACTTTCAAACGCGTTTTCAAATGTTTGCGTTTCAGGCCCTTAAAACGTGTTGTCATGTAAATGTCCCCTTAGGAAAACTGGAATACAGAAACTAAACAGAAATAGAGCATACATGTGACACAAAGTCGAGAACAGATTTCATGATGAAACTACACTAAGGCTGCTGCTGTATGAAGAATTATTTATGTTTCTTCAGACTTGTACTGTCTGAAGAATTGTACTGTCAAAATTGTACTGTCTGTTTCTTGGTCAAGAAGACAAAATTGAATTGAGTGATCCTCAAAAAAGGCAACCAAGACTGCGTGGCAAGAGCGCCACCTCTTGGAAATACAACAGTAGGCCTACCTCTGGATCTGAAGTCAGCAGGAAAGAAAGTGGTTTTTGTATTGCTTTGACCCTGAACTCATTCACAGTGACTTTCTAGCACAGTAATACACAGCAGTGTCTTCAGTCTTGAGGCTGTTCATCTGTAGGTACAGTTGACTGCTGGAGTCATCTCTGGACACTGTTAACCTTCCCTGGACTGACTGGGAATAATAGATAGGAGAACTGGATGTATCAATATATGCAATCCACTCCAGACCTTTACCGTGACCCTGTCTCACCACAGCAGCCCCGTAGCTGCTGAATGTAAATCCAGAGGCGGTACACACCAGCCGAAAAGATTCGCCAGGTCTTTTTACCTCAGCCTGAGGCTGAGTGAAGGTCTGGCAATGGATATCTGTGGAAGAGAGAGAAAAAATACTAAAAAGTCAGAAAGTTGTAAAACTATTAAAAAAATTACCTGTTATAGTGTGCTTTCTAAAATTATTTATACATATATTACTGTTATTATTTAGAAATTAACAAACCATGTAAAAGTAGTAATATCATAACAATAATCGAACTGATTATTGTTGTCATTGCTGTTTGATTCTCGTCTACAGGAACCACATACAGTAAATGAACACAGACACGCATAAATATACATCACAGTTTTGCATGAACTCCTCCTGCAGTCTGTCAATGCTTGTTTGTACCTATGTGTATGAAAAACAGGAATTTGTATACACAAATATATAAACAATGAAGACCATAATGCATAACGAAAGAGCGTTAGGAAGCAAAAAAAAAACAGATTTGTTGCATAAATGTTTCAGAACGTTTCATAAATGTTTAATGATTATGGCTATTTGATATTTTAAAGCATTTTTTGGATAGATGAAAAGTGGGGATAGATGGTCCAGATGGACTTCGAAGGATGCAGCCTATTCGTCCTTCAAAGGACGCACCTTGTAGCCTTCATAGGATTTCCTAATTGCGCATCCAGGTGTTCCCGATTACCGCTCCATGGCGCCAAGCAACAGTGCGAGACGGAGCTGCCATCCCTATGATTAATTTGTTATAATTGAGTAAACTACTATGGAGCCAGAATTGGCTATTGTCATTTTTATGTTTTATATTTTACTGAGGATGTTAAATACATGAATTTTCTAAACGACATTTAGGCCACTTGTCTTTAAAGTCAATTTTTTAGGAGGAAAAAGTTTAGTAGCTATAATAGAATAAGCTAAAAAAGACTTCACATATAAAAAAGAAATATACCACAAACACAAGGTTAGGTTATATAAAAATAAAACATTCATAAATTATTTTATGATTAACATATTACTGTCTTCAGTGAACTCAACGCAAATGATAATAATATTATTATTATTAGCCTACATTTAGGCTACATATTTAGAAGGCGCTTTTATCCAAAAAAGGAACAAAGAAATTCGTCAAATGTCAGTCATAATACAGGGCTAAGATTTGTCACAGTGTCTGGTTATGTTCCTGGTGTCCACTAGAGGTCCTCGTTCTCACGGTGTCATTCACATTATGAACTACATTCCCCACGATCCTTTGTCTCATCATTGCACTCAGCTGTTCCTTATCACTGATCATTGCACTCAGCCTATTCCCCATCATCATGATTGTCTTGTTCTGTGTATATATACCCTGCTTGTTTAGTGTTTGTTACGGAGTCCTTGTATTATGTTACACCACTTCCGAGTTCTGTGTTCTTGCCTGTTTCTTGTGTTTTGGATTGCTTATATGGATTTTGACCCTTGCCTGGACTGTTGTGAGTACGGATTACCCCATTAAAATACTGCGATTGGATCTAACCCCTGTTTCCCGTGTGTGTGTCGTGACAGAAGGACTCCGTCACAACTAGATCCAGCAGTATGTTTTGCAACATCTCTTCCCCAGCCACCGAGCGGGAGAGAAGGGAGTTGTTTAAGGGGACCCGGTTGGTAAAGTTCCGCGGGACCCGTGGAGGTCGTCATAGAGGAGGAGATAGAGAGATGTTTCACCTCCCGTCTGCCCAGCGAGAGACCGTTCACGTCCCGTCTGCCCAGCGAGAGACTGTTCACGTCCCGTCTGCCCAGCGAGAGACTGTTCACGCCCCGTCTGCCCAGCGAGAGACTGTTCACGCCCCGTCTGCCCAGCGAGAGACTGTTCACGCCCCGTCTGCCCAGCGAGAGACTGTTCACGTCCCGTCTGCCCAGCGAGAGACTGTTCACGTCACGTCTGCCCAGCCAGAGACTGTTCACGTCCCGTCTGCCCAGCGAGAGACTGTTCACGTCCCGTCTGCCCAGCGAGAGACTGTTCACGTCCCGTCTGCCCAGCGAGAGACTGTTCACGTCCCGTCTGCCCAGCGAGAGACTGTTCACGTCACGTCTGCCCAGCCAGAGACTGTTCACGTCACGTCTGCCCAGCCAGAGACTGTTCACGTCACGTCTGCCCAGCCAGGGATTGATCAGGATATGCCCATTTGTGTGGCCGCCAAGGCTATGATGGATTACCTAGAGCGTCTGGCTCGGATCCTGGACATGCCAGGGTCTGCCGTTCCAGGATCGGAGCCTGTTCTTGAGCCGGTGCCCGTTCCTGAGCCGGAGGCAGAGCCGGTGCCCGTTCCTGAGCCGGAGGCAGAGCCAGTGACTGTTCCGGAGCCGGAGTTCATGTCGGTTCCGGACCCAGTTTTTGTGTCTGTGTTTGTGTCTGTGTTTGTGACTGTTTTTGTTCTAGTGTCTGTTCCCGAGCCGGTGTCTGTTCCCGAGCCGGTGTCTGTTCCCGAGCCGGTGTCTGTTCCCGAGCCGGTGTCTGCTCCCGAGCCCGAGCCGGTGCCTGCTGCTGCTCCCGAGCCGGTGCCTGCTGCAGTTCTTGAGCCGGTGCCTGCTGCAGTTCTTGAGCCGGTGCCTGCTGCAGTTCTTGAGCCGGTGCCTGCTGCAGTTCTTGAGCCGGTGCCTGCTGCAGTTCTTGAGCCGGTGCCTGCTGCAGTTCCTGAGCCGGTGTCCCCGCCACGGCCGCCCGAAGGGTCTTCGCCGCCCTGGCCGCCCGAGGGGTCTTCGCCGGCCTGGCCGCCCGAAGGGTCTTCGCCGCCCTGGCCGCCCGAGGGGTCTTCACCGCCCTGGCCGCCCGAAGGGTCTTCACCGCCCTGGCCGCCCGAGGGGTCTTCACCGCCCTGGCCGCCCGAGGGGTCTTCACCGCCCTGGCCGCCCGAGGGGTCTTCACCGCCCTGGCCGCCCGAAGGGTCTTCACCGCCCTGGCCGCCCGAGGGGTCTTCACCGCCCTGGCCGCCCGAGGGGTCTTCACCGCCCTGGCCGCCCGAGGGGTCTTCACCGCCCTGGCCGCCCGAAGGGTCTTCACCGCCCTGGCCGCCCGAGGGATCGTCTCCGCCCTGGCCGCCCGAGGGGTCTTCACCGCCCTGGCCGCCCGAAGGGTCTTCACCGACCTGGCCGCCCGAGGGATCGTCTCCGCCCTGGCCGCCCGAGGGATCGTCTCCGCCCTGGCCGCCCGAGGGATCGTCTCCGCCCTGGCCGCCCGAGGGATCGTCTCCGCCCTGGCCGCCCGAGGGATCGTCTCCGCCCTGGCCGCCTGATAGACTGTCTGTCTTGCCTTGGCCGCCGGTTGAGCCATCACCTCCGGTTCTGGTTCCCCTTCATGGACCTGGCCCCCCATCCCTCCCCCTGATCCTCCACCGCTTCACCTCCCACCTGGACTCTTGTTTGTTTGTATGGTCTTGGAGCGTCTGGTAGCCGCTCCGTAGAGGGGAGGTTATGTCACAGTGTCTGGTTATGTTCCTGGTGTCCACTAGAGGTCCTCGTTCTCACGGTGTCATTCACATTATGAACTACATTCCCCACGATCCTTTGTCTCATCATTGCACTCAGCTGTTCCTTATCACTGATCATTGCACTCAGCCTATTCCCCATCATCATGATTGTCTTGTTCTGTGTATATATACCCTGCTTGTTTAGTGTTTGTTACGGAGTCCTTGTATTATGTTACACCACTTCCGAGTTCTGTGTTCTTGCCTGTTTCTTGTGTTTTGGATTGCTTATATGGATTTTGACCCTTGCCTGGACTGTTGTGAGTACGGATTACCCCATTAAAATACTGCGATTGGATCTAACCCCTGTTTCCCGTGTGTGTGTCGTGACAAGATTATCACAAATAAACACAAGATTTTGACGCAAATGTGTGTGGGAGTGTGAGCGCGCACTGCATGGCACGGAGGCGCGGCCGCGAACACTTGCATTTTCCCATCAACAGTGGAAACAACTTAAAAAAATACTCTATAATGTCTGGTCATACAGAAAAGAATAATACATCATTCGCAACTACTTTTATTTGCCTCACATAACAAGAAAACGTTGTGCTTTTGTAAAATAAAATAAAACAATCAGTCGCGCTTTCATGATCTCCGTGAACTGGAGCGCGTCTCATAAATGAACTGAAACAAAATATACCTTGCCTAAAGCTTGAAATGTTCACTTTTAAACGAACAATTAAAATGCCTCGTTATTTATTCAGACACATTTATTATCATTAGCCTGTAAATCATGGTTCCAGAGACATGGCTCTTCTCATTCAGCATTGTGGGAAAAATATAATTTCCAGGTTCTAGTCTGGTCTTAGAAAACCAGTAAAATCGACA